ATATAATAAGCTATTGTTCAAGTACAAATAAGTGGATTATTGCGGAACTTATGGGTGTATTTCTGCGGGACGAGTAACAAACTTATGTACTTTACATTACATACGAATTTCATTATACGACACTTCGAAACCCCAATTCGAATAGTCCTATTGAGAGATTACATTCTACCATCTATTTACCAATATACTTTGGAATCGGGACATTGTGCTCTTCAAGAATATAGAATAAAATATAGGGCATCCCATTCGAAAAAAACTGGAAGCATACAAAATTTCACATTTCTGACATTCAAATCTTGTTTCTGATCATGGTTTCTAAAAATTCAGCCAAAACTGTACAACTTTTGTACTTACACCTTTTTTCTACCTGTAAAGGTAAAGGCTGTAGGTGAGGTGTCAATATATGATAAAATACCCTGTACAAATAAGTGAATTATTGCGGAACCTATGGGTGGACCACTGCGGGACGAGCGTAGCGAGTTCCGCAGCCATCTATTCATCAATATACTGTTGAACTGTTCAAGTAAGACATCCACCAAAAACATGTAAATTTTAAACTAATGAGAATAACTCACATTTGAGTGAGTCAGGTTAGTATCGTAATTAAACAATATATTGATGAATAGATGGCTGCGGAACTCGCTGCGCTCGTCCCGCAGAGGTCCACCTATAAGTTCCGCAACAATTCACTCATTCGTACTTGAATACCTTGTCACATTATCTTAGTAGTTTAGTAAAGTAACATTACTAATTCCTGTTAAAAGGCAAATTGACAAAAAGTGCATAATCTTACAAATTTTGACTTTATATAATAAGTTATTGTTCAAGTACAAATAAGTGGATTATTTCGGAACTTATGGGTGGACCTTTGCGGAACGAGCGCACCGAGTTCCGCAGCCATCTATTCAACAATATACTGTTGAACTGCTCAAGTAAGACATTCTCCAAAAACATGTAGTTTTTGAACTAATGAAAATGACTCACATTTAAGTGAGTCAGATTAGTATCGTAATTAAACAACATATTGATAAATAGATGGCTGCGGAACTCGCTGCGCTCGTCCCGCAGAGGTCCACCCATAAGTTCCGCAATAATTAACTCATTTGTGCTTGAATAACTTGTCACATTATCTTACTAGTTTGGTAAAGTAACAAGTAACATTACTAATTCCTGTTAGAAGGTAAATTGACAAAAAGTGGATAATCTTACAAATTCTGATTTTATATAATAAGTTATTGTTCAAATACAAATAAGTGGATTATTGCGGAACTTATGGGTGTATCTCTGCAGGCCGAGTAACAGACTTATGTACTTAAAATTACATACGAATTTCATTATACGACACTTCGAAACCCCAATTCGAATAGTCCTATTGAGAGATTACATTCTACCATCTATTTACCAATATACTTTGGAATCGGGACATTGTGCTCTTCAAGAATATAGAATAAAATATAGGGCATCCCATTCGAAAAAAACTGGAAGCATACAAAATTTCACATTTCTGACATTCAAATCTTGTTTCTGATCATGGTTTCTAAAAATTCAGCCAAAACTGTACAACTTTTGTACTTAAACCTTTTTTCTACCTGTAAAGGTAAAGGCTGTAGGTGAGGTGTCAATATATGATAAAATACCCTGTACAAATAAGTGAATTATTGCGGAACTTATGGGTGGATCACTGCGGGACGAGCGTAGCGAGTTCCGCAGCTATCTATTCATCAATATACTGTTGAATTGTTCAAGTAAGACATCCACCAAAAACATGTAAATTTTAAACTAATGAGAATAACTCACATTTGAGTGAGTCAGGTTAGTATCGTAATTAAACAATATATTGATGAATAGATGGCTGCGGAACTCGCTGCGCTCGTCCCGCAGAGGTCCACCCATAAGTTCCGCAACAATTCACTTATTTGTTCTCGAATAACTTGTCACATTATCTTACTAGTTTGATAAAGTAACAAGTTACATTACTAATTCCTGTTAAAAAGCAAATTGACAAAAAATGCATAATCTTACAAATTTTGACTTTATATAATAAATTGTTCAAATACAAATAAGTGAAATGTTGCGGAACTTATGAGTGGACCTGCCATCTACTCACCAATATACTGTTGAACTGTTCAAATAAGACACTCACCTGAAACGTGTACTTTTTAAACTAATGAGAATAGCTCACATTTGAGTGAGTTAGGTTAGTTTCGTAATTACACAGCATATTGATGAATAGATGGCTGCGGAACTCGTTGCGCTCGTCCCGCAGAGGTCCAGCTATAAGTTCCGCAACAATTCACTCATTCGTACTTGAATACCTTGTCACATTATCTTACTAGTTTGATAAAGTAACAGGCAATTGACAAAAAATGGATAATCTTACAAATTCTGACTTTATATAATTAGTTATTGTTCAAGTACAGAGTGTTTTTTTATATATTGACACTCTACCTACATCCTTCACCTCTACAAGTAGATGAAAGGTGTAAATACATACAATGTTGCATGCTTTCCCCTTTTTCCAAATAGGATATCCTATATTTAGTTCTATATTCTTGAAGAGCACAATTTCCCGTTCCCAAAACTATATATAGTTTGTTTATATTTGGTTGAGCCGTCTCCAACATATTTGGTTCTAAAAATTTTGAAAATACTAGGATAGAATTGCAAGTAGGCTTTGCAATAAAGAATACTTGATATGAAGGATGGTTAGTTTCAAGTGGGTATTAATAATGAGTCATCGAATCTGTTCATATTTGGAAATCCTTTCAGGTTATATAAATTTTGTCGTTTACCATTTGGCCCTTCTTAAGCTTCAGAGATGTTCCAAAGATTAGGCTCTGAATTTTTTGGCAACATTGATGAATATATGATCACCTAAAAATTCAATTTTTGTTTTCAAAAAATTACATTTCAAGCCCATATTCTTTACATGTATTCAAGACAATTTCCAATTTTTCAATAGTTTCATGTACATTTTTAGCCGGAATAATCAAATCATTCATATCTATAAAACGATGCCTTGATTTATCAATTGTCTAAACACTTGATTTATGAATTTTTGAAAAACGCTTGGAGAATTACATAGACCAAAAGGAACTTTTTTAAACTGATACTGACCATTGTATGTATAAACGAATGACGTATATTTTCTACTGCAAATGAAAAAATCTATTTTAAATGTGTTCAAATATCTTCAAGACTGATAATATCAAAATTGCGAAAAAACAACTCCACAAGCCATTAGAGAATAACGAAAAACAAGCACCGATAATAAGGGAAAATCGATAATAATATCCGTGAGAAAATTCATTAGGGACTTAAGTTGACTACTGACAGGAAATTTGTTGTTTTGTCCTACCAACATCCACATCCTTTTTAGCTTAATTTAATATGTAGATATTACCAATTGATATTATCAGTGTGTATAAAAAGAAAATTATCCAATACATATTTCAAAAAGTAGGTACCTAGGTACCTTCTATAACTTCAATTTTAATTGTAAAATACCTAATAACGTCTCCAAGATAATTGTTTATAGAACAGCTTTTGATTAATATTGAGCAAAATCTCTACTCTCCACCAGGTATATTATATTGGTGTTTAAACGCCTGCAGCGACGGTACCCTGAGGGCCTCTTAAGCGAGAGGAATAACCGCTCGGGCCGTTCACCTCTCTTGCAGCAAAAAAAAAAGTCTTCTTCTCAGTGGTATCTACGGTACGCATCGTCCACTAGGAAGCGTATACCCGCGACCACTATATTGGAAGTTGTATAACCATAAAAAGAGTTAATTTGGACGCGGTGGTACGAGATTATGGTACTCTTGGGTATATCGATTTAAGTAAAATTAAAATTCAAAAATGTTACAGCTTCCCATCATCATAGTATCATCTTCGATGGATTAAAAGGCCAATGGCACTTCTTTATGATGTAATTATTTCTTTGATGCTTTAAATGGAAAAAATAAGAAGTGTTGTCCCATCCATGGGCGTACTTATAATATGGCAGTAGATTTTTTTTGTTTAGGGGTTAAAAATCATAAGCAAATTATGTATTTGAATCAAAGTTTACCCTCAGGAGGTTTGAAATTGAGATTTTCTAAACTCTAAACAACTAACAAATGTGTGGCTTGTTGGAAAGTGAGTAGTTCTAAAATATCTAAATCCCGACCGGTTTTAGGCCTTTTTTTCCTTGTTTGCAAGAGGATATCTTGTATTATATGGCTAAAAGTTCGTTCACTCTTCTTCGTCTTTGTTGAATCGATCGTCCAATAATAAATAGGCATATTTGAAAAATATTCATTTTGAGTTTTGTTGCTTGTAGAAGATTGAATTGGCTTCAATTTAAGCCTAATTTTAGTAAAATCGGATTGAAATCAATGGCAATTTTGTGTCTGGAAATTTTGACTAAGAATAATTGTCCATATTATCATAAAAACTTGAATAAATTGAAACAAGTTATATATCACTGTGAAAAGAGCATCAAATTCTCTATAAATCTGTGCTAAATTGAGTTTGATTGCTCAAATAATTTTCGAGCAATTGAGCCTCAAAGTTGACTTTTAGTCAAAAACATTAAGCTCAATTTTCTCTAAAACTATAATCCTGAAAATATTTTCCAATACAGGTTTTTCAGAGCTCAATACAATTCCTGAAAATTTTGATTCAATATCAGGAATTGAAGCTTAAAAATTTTGAAATAAGAATCCAAAGGGGGTTCTACTTTTTGAAAAAAGTCGAAATTTTTAGTTTTTATATTTTTCAAATTTTGACTTTTCCAATCGGTCTAAATTAGTCGGAAAAAAAACCCTAACATCATTTTCAAATGACCAATTCAAAAAAGAATGCGAAATTTTTGCAATCTTGACAATTTTGCTCAAAGCTTTGAAGACTTTCGTGCAAACTTACTTAAATTATATATCATTCGAAAGAGGATTAAATTCTCTATAAAACAGTGATATATCAAATACTTTTTGAGCAAAAGAGCCTCAAAGTTAACTCACCTTTTATTATTGCTGTCGGACTGGGACTGGACGCATCCAAAGGACTGTCCGGGTTCGATCCAGGTTCTTGTTTCACACTGGAAAGAAAAAAAATATTTCTTATTTTCCAAAACAAAAATCGTATCTATTTTTGTCTGTCATCCCCTAAATATTCTCTCCAGGATGTTGGGAAAATTGCCAGAGAGAAAAGGGTGAAAATCCAAAAAGCAGGTCACGCGAAAATTCAAAATTTACGAGCGCATCTGCTGGATCATTTTGGCACCGATTTATTAATAATTTACTCAGAAAATCAGGATTTGTTTGTTGGACTTTAAATTTTCCAGTTTACGTTGGTAAGAGTTATCTTCTGAGTAACACATATACAAAGTATACTATTTAAAACGAAATAGGCTAAATATCTGAGGTCACTGGGACCAAACCCCTCAACCATTCCAAATGGAACAGGGGGCAAGTGATATATGTTTTAAAAGAGCGTTTAATTTTTTTTCAAATGACATCATATATTGAACGTTCTTTTAAAACAGGTATCATTCGACCCTTTGTTATTAAGGATTGGTCCTGCTCCACCTAGAGGGTTAAAGTTGAAGTGTTAAAAATTGTTGCAGAAAACTTCCCCCTTCAAAAATTAAGTTACGTGTAAGTACGAGCGATTTAAAAAAAAAAATAAACGTAGCATCAGTTTCGTTTTAAATGTTACACCCTGTATAAAGAAAGTTCAAGTTTTCTGGACCAATTCAGATTATTGAAAAGGGAATTAGGAATCAAAAGAAGCAATTTTGAAAGAAGAATTTCCAGAAATCAATAATGGCAACTTCAGAAAAAGAGGCAATTATTTGAGTAGAAAATGCCAACTGACGAAATAATTTCCTGAAACGACTGTTATAGTGGACAATTCTCACCTGGTGAAGGTCGAATCTGCATTTCCTTTTACCTTCACCTCCTCTTCCTCTTCTTCCTCTATTCCTGACGTGGTTTTCTCCTCCAAATCCCCATCTAAAATCGTAGTAGAACTGGCAACGGCCTCCATAATGATAACGGAGCGCATCGGCGGCCACCTGAAGGGGGGCCATCGCGGGCCCCCTTAATTATTTGCACCAGGAAGAGCCGTTCGAGGGCATCTTCCACGTTATCGGGACACCCGCGTCCGCTCAACTGGGGAAAAACGGGGTTTCGTCTGGCCGGGGTGTCCCGGTTGTTCAGGGCGCAAGCGCCCTTTTGAAATCAGGGTTTGTAGGGAACAGGATGTCCTGCTTTTTTTTTTTGTTGTTCTTGTCCCGGTTTTTAGGTTTGATTTGAGAGGACCAGTTTTGTATTGTTCAGGTGGTCAGTTTCGTTTGGGAAAAAAAGGGGGATTTTTTTGCTTGATGGTTGCAGATGTTAAGATGATCTTGATTTATTTTAAAAAAATACCTACAGAAGATTTCTATTCCAGGCTCTTGAATCTTCTTTATTTAGAAAAAAAAACAAAAATTCAAGTTGCCTGGAATAGTGGAAAATTGAAACTAAAGGGAAGAGATAAGAATGTAAAGGAAATTTAATCATTTTTCTTTTTTATTCCAGGCTTTTGACTCTTCCTTTTCGATTCTTTTGTGGAAAGAAATTTTATTCCAGGCTTTTGACTGCTCCCTGATTCTTTCATAAAAAGAAATTTGGATGGAAACAGAAATTCCAGAGCCTGGAATAGTTTAAAATTGAAACTAAAGAGGAATAGAGGCAAGGATTTTAGGGAAACTTGATTATTTTTCTTTCTTATTCCAAGGTTTTCACTGTACTTAGTGTTCCTTGATACTTTGATGGAAAGAAATTTTATTCCAGGGTTTCCACTGTGCATTAATTTTTTCATAGAAAGAAATTTGGATGGCAACCAAACCTGGAAGAGGTAGGTTGCTTGGGCTAGGACTTTGTAATGAATAGAGATACTTTTCTCTATCTTTATTGACGTCCCGGCCGCATGGAGGTAAGTAACACCCATTTGGCTCAAGTTCGCAAATTTGAATGTAACACCCGATATCGCAACGGAGAGTTTCTTTATCAGGTGTTACTTACCCTGGACAGATTTGCATTCACAAAATGTTTAAAATAATGCCTTTATTAGATAGTATAGATATAATATTAGTTTTTAATGTTTCAAACTTTCTGTATTTTATTAATTCGCTGATTGATTCGTCTAAGCTAGATGAAAATAAAACTAAAAATACTTCAGTTATTTATTTACTTATTTTATGAGTTAAGAAACTCACAACTCTGTGTTTTTATACACCAAATAGAAATTAAGAGTCCTCTGAATAATTTCGGCAAGTTGACAACATTGCCTATTACACTGCTTGCTGCTGTAGCGTCGGTGCATTTGCATAGTATACTTTCTATATTAGTTAAAAAATGAATAGTGTTTTTATACCAGAGGATTATCCATATACAGTGTCCCCCACCCCATAATGTTCTCTACATATGGGGAAATTTTTTATTTGTAGGATATGGAAATTACGAACGCACAGTATAATTATATTAATATAACAATACTAAATATATTTTGCACTTATATACTCATGTTTTATAGGCTGAATAACGAGGGTAAGTAACACCCGATAAAGCGCACGTCCATGCAACCACGGGTGTTACATTTCAAAAACCGAACCGTTGTCGAACGGATTACCGAATGCTAAATAGGATGTTACTTACCTCCATGCGTCCCGGCTCTCTCTATTGATTTCGAAAAGAGAGAAAAAGACAGCAAGTGCCATAGCGATAGGAATAACGATCTTTAACCGTTATAGAGTCCCAGCCCTGATAACTTTATGACGTCATTTGGGTTGACTCCAACATAATCAGAGACATAATGCAAATCTCCATAAGGCATAAGGCACCCCAGATCAAGTTACACCTTACGAAAACCTAATTAACTTTAGGAACCTTGGGTTGCCTGATAACTTTTATGACGTCATTTAGGGTGCCTCAACATAATGCAAATTTCCATGTCAGGTACCCCAGAGATGACGTCATAAAAGTTAGCCATTAGCAGACAACCTATTAACTTTGGGAACCTTGTGGATGGAAATAGAAATTCAAGAACCTGGAATAGTGAAAAATTGATACTAAAAGAAAAGAAATAAATAGGAAAAATTAATTAATAATAATTAATAAATTTGTATTCAAATAATTTTGCCGCCATTTTGAATTATTTGAATATAATCTATAGTGCTGCCATCTATGAAACAACAAATTTTATTTTCATTTAAATCATTTTTAAGGGGCTTTTATTAACAATGGGCAATTTAATTAGCTAAATTAAGCCTTCATTCTTTATCTTAATGAATAATTACTTGATTAATCAGTAATTTAATTAAAAACATCCTTACACTATAGTAGTTTGCCGTATTGAAACTAGATGGCGCCACTCGTCAAAATCAATAGAATTATTTATTTGGAGTTGTAAATCGTAATTAAAACACTTTTAATAGTGAATAATATTAATTACTTAATGAAAATTGATAATTTTAAGCCATATAACGCAATAATAATAATAATAATAATGAAACAAATTCACAAAATAAAAGAAGAAACATCAAAACGTCAACATAACCTCACTTTTGGTTTAGTTGTTGTGGTCATATCTGTGTAAGTGTAATTTGTTAATTTTCAACAAAAGTAAGTATAATTTGTCTATTTGAGCCTCATTTTAAGCAATTTTATATTAAAAAGGCCCCATTCAAAACATTGTCAATTGCCAACAGGTCTCTGTAGCGAAAATGGGCCAGAAAACTAAACGTGCTAAAAAGAGCCCCAAAAACCGTGCAAATAAAATCCATTTGGTCTTTGACGAGGTCAAAAGAAGGTAAATTAAACCCCCCAAGCCTTAAATTAAAACGTATCCAATAACAAAATATTATTCTAGAGAATTCTTGACAGGTTTTCGCAAAAGGAAACTCCAACGCAAAAAGCAGGCCCAAGAAGAACTCGAAAAGGAATTGAAAGAGGAACGAAAACGCCTCAAAGCTGAAGCCAAAGAGTCTTACAAAAAGCTTGTGGTCTCTCACCGTGACATCCCAGAACTAGCACAATTTCAAAGCAAAGAGTACGAAGAAGATGATGTCACTGTAAAAATCCAAGAAATATCCGCCAACGATATTGCCAAGCAAAGCAATTGGATTGGGGCGAATCAGCCTAAATATGAATCAGATGAATCAGAAGAAGAGGTAGTTGAAGAAGAAATTGAGGAAATGCCTGGCATGGAATTGAAGCCAAAAGTTGAAAAACAAGAAATGAAAAAAGTACAAGAAAAGAGAAAGTTTGAGACAGAAAAACAAGTTAAAAAAGAGCTGAAAAAGCGGGCAACTAAAAATGTCAAAAAGAGTAAAGTTTTCCAAAAAAAGAGCCAAATTGAGAGGCAAAAACAAATCAAAAAATCCTTCAAGGCTAAAAAGGCCAAGGAACAGGTGAGACAGAAGTTTGGCAAGAAGAGGAATAAAGGTAAACATTTAAAAAAGACAAATAATAAAGAATAATATGTTTGTTTTTTATTTATAAATTGGGTTTTTTGTATTTTGCCTGTATCCATACCCTGTACATTTTCAATAATCTGCCTCTGTTTACTTGCAAGCGTCTATCTGCCCTGTTTTCTTCTTCGAGGAAACCACCTTGTTCAAAAAGAATTTTAATTTCTTCTAAAAACAAAAAGAAATAATTATCAGCTTGTGAGAAATACAAAATTAAAACTTTTATAGAGAATTTTAAGTACTTAGTACTGCTTTAAAAGTACTTAGTACTGCTTTAAATAGCATTTTTCTTTAAGAATAGTATAGAATTTTATTCACAAACAAGCCATTTTACAGTAGGTACAATAATTCTTAATCTATACAGGGTGATTCAAAAGTAAGCGGCATCCTTTCGGGGGCGTATTCCTTGCATAAAAATAAGACAAAAAATTCCTATTAACATGGGTCCAGAAATGCTTCCTAAGGGAGCTACGCCCCTGAGAGACGTGTTTTTCTCTATAACTTTGAAACCCTTCATAAATGGATTTTGAAAATTGGTGTATTTTATAAATTAAGATACTAAATTGAAAATTCAAAAATCTTAATCAGTGGCGTCACATACTGGGGAGGGTGAGGGTTGAAACATCCATATTTTTTTTTTTTTTACTCATCAGGTTTTTGTGAAACATACGCAAATCAGAAAATTTTCAAAGTCAATTTTCTCGTAAACAGTATGCTGTATCGAATTGACCAACAGTAGCTTTTCTGTGTAAATTTTCTGAATTTTCAATCAGAATCGCAAAAACCTGACAAGTAGAAAAAATAGAGATGTTTTAACCTTCAACCTCTCCAGTATGTGACGCAACTGATTAAAATGTTTGAACTTTCAGTTTAGTATCTTAATTGCCATCAAATGTTTATAAAATACACTAATTTTTCAAATCCATTTGTAAAGGGTTTCAAAGTTATAGAGAAAAGTACGTCTTTCAGGTGTCCTATTCGAAGAGGCGTAACTCCCTTAGGAAGCATTTCCGGACCCATGTTAATAGGAACTTGTTGTCCTATTTTTATGCAAGGAATACGCACCCGAAAGGATGTCGCTTACTTTTGAATCATCCTACAGACCAATTTTTAAATATGTAGTTTTCCACATTGAAATTGTGTAGCAATTCAAGCAATCGTGCACTGTCAATCTGACAATCAAATAGGCATCTGTCAGCAGACGCTCGCGACATCTTTTGCTTTGCGAGCACAGCTACAGAACCAGTGCCCGAAATCAGAGCCCACAATTCGATAGTAACGTCTGTATCTATAGGTCTGTTCGAGGGGTGGTTAACTACTTAAAACGGGTATTTGATTATATTTGGCACCATACCTACAGCCTTTACTATTTAAGATAGGAAAAAATTTTAAATACAAAACTTTACAGTTTTTTTCTATATTTTCTTTTGACAGTATCAGAAAAAACAAAATCGCATCGGAAAATGGAGAAACGTAGGCAACTTCTATTTTTTCAAATGGAACACCCTGTATATTATGCGATAAAATTAAAGATCTTTTCTTCCTGATTCCAAATATATATATATATACTGATCATATTTGAGTGAGTCGTTCTTGATATATCTTAGATTAAATTTTAAATAAAATTCAAAGGAATTTTATGAAGATTTAAATGTCTTGACATCCTTATGAAATTTCTTTGCAAATTTAAGCTAAAATATTTCAAAAACGGCTCACTCAAATGTGCTCAATATATACAGGGTGTATATTTTAAGTGATACCACTATTGCTATATCTGAAACGGTAAGAGCTACAAGGTCGGTTAAATTAGAAACAAGTTGCCATTTTTGATGCCCATTTAAGATTCTTTTACAGTGTTGCCAAATTTCTTTCAGTTTCTGAAATACATGTCGCTAACTAGGGCCGAAATAAGGTGAAATTTTGGTAAAAATCACTGATGATCACTTTTTAGATCAGAAACGTCGACCAACGATACTTAAGAGGTATATCGTTAAAAGGGGGATAAAGTGTGCTTTCTACAAATAAAATTAAAAATCCAGGTCCGTATTTAAAAATATGAAGTTGATGATGGTAGCTCAATCACGAAACGTCGGATTCAAAATTTAAAGACGCCATGTTGTAGAGCGAAAAAAATTATAATACTTTCAAATTTAAATTGTGTCCCGAAAATTAATAGTTTTCGAAATAATTGATGAAATATTTTTTAGAAATCACCCTGTATTTCATAAACTAAAAGGAATTTGGCAACACTGTGAACGAGTCTTGAATGGGCATCAAAAAAGGCAACTTTTTTTAAATTCAACCGACCTTGTAGCTTTTACCGTTTAGGATATAGCAATAGTGGTATCACTTAAAATATACACCCTGTATATATTTGGAATCAGGAAGTTGCCTACGTTTCTCCATTTTTCCGATGCGATTTTGTTTTTTCTGATACTGTCAAAAGAAAATATAGAAAAAAACTGTCAAGTTTTGTATTTAAATTTTTTTTCTATCTTAAATAGTAAAGGCTGTAGGTATGGTGCCAAATATAATCAAATACCCTGTATACAGATTTTAAATCTTCATTGATTTTGTAGGATTTTGAGGATTTTGAAAATCTTCATATGATTTTACAGGATTTTAAAAGATTTTAGGTAATTTTGGAGCATTCATTTCAGGGAAGTTAGAAGAGTTTTTAGAGATCCTAAAGGATTTTTGGAAATGTTAAAGGAATTTTTTTATTAGGAATTTTATAGGATTTTGCCGGATTTTTTTTGGTTCTAATAAAATTTTGGTAGATTTTTAAAAAAATTTGAGATTTTCAGGGATTTTAAGTAGATCTTACGAGTTTTTCTGGGATTTTGACCAACTTGTATACAAATTTTCATCAATTAACCACACGAAGTTTAGTTAACTCCATAAAATGTGTACCTACATAATTAAATCCTCATTGATTTTGTAGGATTTTGAAAAACTTGACGTGATTTTACAGGATTTTAAAAGATTTTAGATTTATGAGATTTTAGGTTATTTTGGATTATTCTAGGGAATTTAGGAAGGGGTTTTATGGCGTTTTTACCAACTAATTTAGGGGAGCCTCAATGATAAGTATTTTTCAAACTGACATTTCTCCATAGATGACTGTCATTTTAAGGAATACTTATTATTGCAGCTCCCCTAAAATAGTCAGTCGAAACGGCCATTAGAGATCCTAAAGGATTTTTAGAAATTTTAATGGATTTTTGAGGATTTCAAAGGATTTTTGGAAATTTTGAATGAATTTTTGTTTAGGAATACATATTAATGACTTTATAAGATTTTGCCGGATTTTTTTTTGTTCTAATAAAATTTTGTGAAATTTTATGCGATTTCAAGTGATTTTTAAGGGATTTTGTGAGGTTTTGTTAAATTTTGTTCAGAAGATTTTAGATTTTCAAAATTTTAGGTGATTCTGGGGCATTTTAGGGGTTTTTAAAAGGTTTTAAAGATTCTAAATTCAAATGACAAATTTGAATAGAAAAACAGGAAGTCCTAGAAATTATTCCATAAGATTTCATAATACATTTCCGAATTTCACCATAAGATTCCATGGAATTCCCCCATAAAATTCAATGGAATTCTTGTACAAAAATTCCTCTGAATTACACTAAAAGAGAAAATTTTATGTAATTTGACAAAAATTACTCAGAATTTCACTAAAATTTAATTCAATTCTTCGGAATTCCGTCAAAATTTCTCGTGGTTCCATGGAAATTCTGTTGAATTTCAAGAAGATTCTTCGGATTCCATGGAATTCCACAATAAGTGTCCATTTATCCAAATTGGAACATTTAATCTTAATATTTTTACCATACTGTACATATTAGAATTAATTAATTATAAGCAACCTACTTTTATTATTGGAAATGACGACAATCGATGTGTGCAAAATCAGCATTTATTGTATATAAAAGGTGATCAATTTCATTAATAAAATCAGATTCAAACTTATTGTTGTTTCTCTTACTTAAATTGTGCCCAAGTCACCATTGGCCTAGCAACGCTAGTAGAGTCGTGAGACTGCGCTCTAACAATTACTTTTCTTTAGCCTTATTGTAGCAGGTGCTCTGTCTGGTTACATTAGGCCCTTCTCTAAACCTGTAGCAAGTGCTTTGTCTGGTTACAGGTTTAATTTAAACCTTATAGCAAGTGCTTTGTCTGGCTTGGGTCCTTTTTTTCCAACTTACAACAAGTGCTCTAGTCTGGTTGTAAGTTACCTATCTTACGCCCTAGTGCAAGTGCCGTGACTTTAAGTCCTGTCTGGTACTAAGGCCCTTCTGCTCTTCTATCCTAAACCATCGGGATCAAGCAGAAAATACTATCCAGAGAACTAGAGTCTCCTGGAGCGTACATGGTCCTTCGAGCAAAAAGTTACAACGGTCAAGAATCAGCAGCCTGCAACAGCAGGCAACCAGAGTCCTAGAGGTCCCACCAGTAGCGATCCTCAGGTCCATCAGCCAGAGTCCCAGAGGTCCCACCAACAGCGGGCCCAGAGGTCCAACCGAACCAAGCAGCCATCAACCAGAGTCCTAGAGGTCCCACCAGTAGCGATCCTCAGGTCCATCAGCCAGAGTCCCAGAGGTCCCACCAACAGCGGGCCCAGAGGTCCAACCGAACCAAGCAGCCATCAACCAGAGTCCTAGAGGTCCCACCAGTAGCGATCCTCAGGTCCATCAGCCAGAGTCCCAGAGGTCCCACCAACAGCGGGCCCAGAGGTCCAACCGAAACAAGCAGCCATCAACCAGAGTCCTAGAGGTCCCACCAGTAGCGATCCTCAGGTCCATCAGCCACATTCCCAGAGGTCCCACCAACAGCGGGCCCAGAGGTCCAACCGAAACAAGCAGCCATCAACCAGAGTCCTAGAGGTCCCACCAGTAGCGATCCTCAGGTCCATCAGCCAGAGTCCCAGAGGTCCCACCAACAGCGGGCCCAGAGGTCCAACCAAACCAAGCAGCCATCAACCAGAGTCCTAGAGGTCCCACCAGTAGCGATCCAGAGGTCCATCAACCAGAGTCCTAGAGTTCCCACCAGTAGCGATCCTCGGGTCCATCAGCCAGAGTCCCAGAGGTCCCACCAACAGCGGGCCCAGAGGTCCAACCGAAACAAGCAGCCATCAACCAGAGTCCTAGAGGTCCCACCAGTAGCGATCCTCAGGTCCATCAGCCAGAGTCCCAGAGGTCCCACCAACAGCGGGCCCAGAGGTCCAACCGAACCAAGCAGCCATCAACCAGAGTCC